TAGTAGTCGTAGTAGTAGCCTAGTGTTTAACCCTGAGGTCAGCTGAAACGTAAACTAATCGGACCACAGCACAAACATAAACAGAACCAGAAACTCGGCAGCTATAATTATAAGCCTAGACCCTCTCAAGATTAAGATGAAAATAACACATTTGCACAAAGAATTGCAATTATAGTAATATTATATGTTATAATAATGAGTAAAATATGTGTCTTTCATTGAAAATACATCAGAAAACTTAAGTTATACTTATCATAAACCGGCGTTTGTTCTCTTGTCTTGAAGATTTTCTTCAGTCAAAGCAAATCAGTCAAGAAACAGCATGATATTTGGGTTAATTTACTCAAACCCATGTTGTTTTAAAGAAAACATACTAAAAACTACCTTAACCTAACTTACAGAAAGTTCGGGAAAGTTTTTGGTCGATAATTAGGGATTTTGGCTACAAGTCATGGAGGCTGACATCTTGCCAAATTCCAGCCAATCAGAAGGCGCCTAAATCCTTCCTATGTTATACCGTTTGGGGAAAAAAAATTCGCCGCCCGGCTCGTACCCGCTCGACACAGCGGGAGTGAGTTCATTTATCTCTATTCGCCTGCATTTCTTCACGGAAATCGTCGATATTGCAGCAACAGCGTAAAGGCCATGTTAGTTCTCTCTCTCATTTTCTCGCTCTCACACACACGCACGCACGCACGCACGCACGCACGCACGCACACACACACGCGCACAAACTCACACATACTCACACACACACACACACACACACACACACACACACACACACACACACACACACACACACACACACACACGCACACACACAAAACGAAAGAGAGCGCACGAGAGAGAGAGAGAGAAAGCGAGAGAGAGCGAGCGAGAGAGTCCGAGAGAGAGCGAAAGAGAGACACACGCGCACACTCGCATGCAATCACACGAACACGCACACGCCCACGCAAACGCACACGCACATGCACACGCACGCCTACGCACACCTCCACGCACACGCGCACGCACACGCGCACGCACATGCACACATGCACATGCACATGCGTGTGTGCGTAAGTATTTGTACTTACATGCGTCTACATGTATGTGTGAATGCGCTTGCGTGTTTCTCTGCGCGCGCGCGTGTTTGTGTTTGTTTGTACGCGTGTGGGTGTACTGTGCCAGAATACCGTTCTAGCATTAAACCAGTTCGCGCCATGTCTATTGATTTATTGCTACTATCTTAATAAAATATCTATATCTATAATTGCATCTGCAGATCCTGGTGAGCATTAACGTGTATCTTTAATGGAATCATAAAATAATACTGCCTAATGGCGGCATCGCGATAGTTACTCGACCGATTGCCTGCCCCGGAGTCTCTGGCTTGTCGCCGTCCGATAATCAATTATTCTCTAAGTGACGAAGTGGTTTCTATCGAAGGAGTACCTACGGGTAGCCTATCACAGCCTGCCTCTTCACAAGCCCTACACCAGCGCAACCACAGCCACCACCGCCGCCACCGCTACCAATGTGCTCCACATTAAACGGCGTAATCGAACTTTCGCTCTTAGGGTGACGTCACTTTTCCCAATCAATATTCCCCGGCCTAATCGGAATTGGCACCATAAGGAGCGAGCACGCACACACATGCACCGTGTTTCGTTTTTCAGCGGGCGCCAGGCTCTTGGACTGACGCGTGATCGCTCTCTGCTGAAGCCATCTATATAACCAAGTACGACGGCAGGGAATAGAGAGTGTGGAAGTGTTTTCGAGTGCTGGCCGTGGTGGAGTGTCCTGTGACTCATCTTGCAAAGGTAGGACACTGCAACAGCATGAGTACGATTTATAGTTATTGTGCTTGCACCCTTAGTGATTTACCGAAATACCATAGGTATGATACACAAAACAAAACGCCATGCTTAGATGAGAAAGGTTAGAATAAATTCATTGTGCTATATCTGTGTATGAGTGCGTATCCTTAGTAATATCTGTAAATGAGATTTCTAACAGTAGCCTGTCTGCCTATTTTTAGTGTTACAAACCCATCGCTATACGATTGTTATTTTGGCGTGTTGAAATTACGATGAGAAATTAAAAGATCTAGTGAGTGTTAGAGAATGTATAGTTCGGTTGCTAATGATAGAATATTCTAATCTGGTAAGTGAGACTTTGGACTTTCGTATTTTTAAAATTGTAAGCGTGACTATGGTGGTTAGTTTTAGAAGACGGGCAGAAAATAAAGTAGAAATTCTTAATATACAGACATAGACTGGAGAGGCGTGGGCCATTGCCCGAAATCACACAGTATATGGTAGAATACGGGCACGGTCTCTCAATTCACGGCTATTATATGTATATTTCAGTGTCACTGCATGAGACTGAATCTTAAACACACGTGTCTGCATTGCGTTTTAATACTAAGCTTTTCACGCTAATGAAGGACACTGTTCCATCATTTTTGC